AAAATACCTCATTCTGATTTTTTTTCTCACATGACTATTCTAAGCAGGTAAAGACTTGAATCATAGGAAATATTTTACCCAAGAATCAAAGCTATGCCCAACCTCAAAGACCTACCCATTCTCTGACTCTAGTAGCACATTTTAAAACTAAACAAACAAAAACTAAAAATAAAACAGGAGGACTACACAACTCAGCAATTTTGGCTCTGTTTGATTCTGTTTTCAAAGTGGGATATGGTCCCTGTGTAACCATTTTGGGGAAAATGGATGTAAGAAACCTATCTTTTCACAGATACTACCTGATTCTCCACAGGCAAAGGACATCACTGAAATCCTTATGGTGTCCTTAATAACAAAGAAATTGCCACATGTTGACAATGCTTTTTATAAATGCTAATACTTAAACAAACTGTATCAAACATATATGAAAATGCTTTAACAGAATTTAACATTCTCCTTTATTGGCAGTGTCTCAAACATGGATGCTACGCGTAAAGTCAGATCTTGCACAACAAGTGTTAAGTCTATAGTAATCTAGATGAGAGAAAAGCCGTTCCACTCACCCACAAACCAAGAAGGCATGGCAGAGCTGCGCACAAGACTGTGTGTGGTTCTGCAACTGTTGGCTTCAGAGGCAGAATTGGGATTCTGTGACTATGGAGATGCATGGGTTGGACACATTTTCCATCTTCAGTGTTGATGAACAAATAAATTTTTTTTTAGCAAATTTATAATCTGGAAAGTTTTCCAAGTGATCCAGGATGGTGTTACGAGCACACATTTTTACAGTTCAGCATTAAAACCTTCTGGGAATTTTCAGGTTTCTGTTCCACACCTAGCATTTGAAAAGCAACCATTGGAATCATCAAGCTGAACACCTGCCTCTGCAAGAGTAAAAGAGACTTTGGGTCCCTTACTGAAGACTGCACTTTGGCTTATGGTAGTTTCATTCCCTCATAAGGCCTATTCTGCATCTTCAGGGCCGAGGGCACCATCCAGAATCACAGAAAACTTTGTACTTACAGATTTATCTCACTGTGAAT